GCCTTGCTGGAGATGCATCAGGAAACATGGCATTCTTAGCCAGGTCCTGGCAGTGCTTTTGGTCTGGCCAAGCCCACGGGGACTGCCTTCCATATCATTTGCCAGCACGGACTTTGTCTCAAAGGTGACACATCAGCAACTCAGTGTGCATGACCTAAAGTCGCTGCCACAGGCATTTTACTCCTGCTCCAAATCCAAATACTGCCACTCTGACCGAGCAGAAAGAAATCCCAACAGTAGCATGTTTTAGAAATTCTTCCAGGGAAAGCGTTTCCAACTGTAAAAACACATTTCAAAACAGCTCTCATTTCGCATTGCCAAATTGAGCTGGGCCAGCGCTTCAACAGAGTGGTGCCAGAGGCCAGAAACCCGTCTCAGCTACTGAAATACTACTGCAAAAGAAGAAGCTGTTATTTATACAGCATGCTTCACAACCTCAGGATGTCCCCGAGCATTTCCAAGCCAATTATGTACTTTTGAAATGTAGTCACACTTGTAATGTAGGGAAATAATGATCACGTTTTGCAAAGCAAACTGATGGTTTCACTTTTCTTCATGCATCCAAATGTGGCCCAAGGACATGGAAAAATCTTCCAGTCACAATAACTCAGGTTAGAACAGCACAAGGTACATAATAACATAGCAGTTAGCACCGCCGTAACAGAAAGAACTTCCATTTATAAATCTTTCCACAAGCTCAGAAAGTCCCAAAGTACATGCAAACACTTGCACTGTAAGAAAAAAACTGCTGGAAATCAGAAACCAAAACAGAAATTGCCGGAAAAACTCAGCAAGTCTGACAGTATCTGTGGACAGAAAGCAGAGTTAGTGTTTCGGGTCCTGTGACCCTTCTTCAGAAGTGGAACTTCAGTTAACTGAAATGGTGACTCTGCTTTCTCTCCACGGATGTTGCCAGACGTGCTGAGTTTAATTTCTACAATGTAGAAAATCCTGCAGTCAATTTGCACAAAGCAGGGAGCCACAAAGCTCAAATGAGGCAGTAACCATACAATCAACATCACACAAAGAGATTAAGGGACACCAATTAGCCAGGGAACTGGGAAGAACAGCCACCTCCTTACTGAACTGTGGCCAGGATCATATCCACTCAGGACAGACAAAACTTTGCTTTATTCAAACGATAGTACTGCCAACAGTACAAAACACCTACAGAACTGCAATGTTGTTAACCTACATTAATGATTCATCGTGCAGAGAGATTCAGTCGTGGCTTTCTGAAGAGAACACGTGCAAATTGGCTTAGGGACAACAAGAATAAGGGAATTAAACACATGGCTAAAGGAGTGGCGTGGGAAAGAGGGGTTCCTTTCCATGGGGCATTGGCATTAGTATTGGAACACAAGGGATCTGTACAGTTGGGCCAGTCTCCAACTGAACTGAATTGGAACCAATGTTCTAGCAAAAAGGGTAAATAGGCTGGTCAACAGGACTGTAAACGGGGGGGAGGGCGTCTGTGTGTGTGCGCCTGTCTGTCTGTCTCTGTGCGTGTGTAGGGAAGGATAAACCTTTCCCCAGTGGGGAATGAAGCAACAGGCTAACACCTATAGGAGGTAGAATCCACTGCATGGAAAAATATGAAGAAAAATGATGGGAAAGGAGAACTCAGGAGAAGTTATTAGTCTCCAGCACAGCCACAAATATAACTGAGTATTTGGATAGGGTTAGGAATCAAACTTCAAGCACACTGGATAAAAGACTGACAATGACAAGAGGGATAGTTAATAGAGGACTGAAGGTGTTATATCTGAATGCACACAGTATAAAGAACAAGGTAAATGAGCTTGTGGCGCAGATCGAAATTGGCAGATATGACGTGGTGGGCATCATGGGTACATGACTGCAAGGGGATCAGGATTCTGAGCGGACTATCCAAAGGATATACATCCTATCAAAAAGATAGGCAAGTGGACAAAGGGGATGGGGTTGCCTTATTAGTAAGAAATGAAATTAAATCAATAGTAAGAAATGAAGTAGAGTCAGATGGCATAGAATCTGTGTGGGTAGTGTTGAGGAACCGCAGAGGTTTAAAAAAAAACCATAGTTGGAATTATGTACAGGCCTCCAAACAGCAGTCAGGAGCTGGGGCACAAGATACAACAGGAGATCGAAAAGGTGTGTAAGAAAGGCAAAGTTATGGTGATCATGGGGGATTTCAATACGCAGGTGGACTGGGAAAATCAGGCTGGTAGTAGATTGCAAGAAAAGGAATTCGTGAAATGTCTACGAGATGGCTTTTTGGAGCAGCTTATGGTGGAGCCCACAAGGGAACAGGCAGTACTGGATTTAGTGATGTGCAATGAGGCAGATTTGATAAGAGAGCTTAAGGCGAAGGAACACTTAGGAGGCAGTGATCATAATATGATTCAAATTACAGAGTAAATTCAGAGGGAGAAGATAGAATCAAAGGTAACGGTATTACTGCTGAATAAAGGCAACTACAGAGGCATGAAGTAGGAGCTGGACAGAATTGACTGGGAGAGGAGCCTAGTAGGAAAGACAGTGGAACAGCAATGGCAGGAATTTCTAGGAGTATTTCAGGAGACGCAGCAAAAATTCATCCCTAGGAAAAAGAAGCATGGTACAGGGCTGATGGGGCAACCATGGCTGACTAAGGAAGTCAGGGATAGCATAAAAGCAAAAGAGAAAGCATATAATGTGGCGAAGGGCAGTGGGAAACCAGAGGACTGGGAAGCTTACAAAGACCAGCAGAGGGCAACTAAAAAAAAGAAATAAGGAGGGAGAAGATTCAATATGAGGGTAAGCTAGCCAGTAATATAAAGGAGCACTGTAAGAGTTTCTTTACATATATAAAGGGCAAAAGACAGGCAAAAGTAGACATTGGGCCGCTGGAAAATGACAGTGGAGAGATAGTAGTGGGGAACAAGGAAATGGCTGAGAAACTGAATAATTACTTTGCGTCAATCTCCACCGTGGAAGACATGAGTAATATCCCAAAAATTCAAGACAGTCAGGGGGCAGAGCTGAGTATGTTGGCCATTACCAAGGAAAAGGTGCTAGAAAAACTTATTGGCCTGAAGGTGGACTACACCTCTGAGTTCTGAAGGAGATAGCTGAAGAGATAGTAGAGACATTAGTGGTGATCATTCAGGAACCACTAGACTCATGGAAAGTCCCAGAGGTTTGGAAAATCGCTAACGTGACACCCCGGTTTAAAAAGGGATTAAGGCAAAAGACTGAAAATTAAAGGCCAATTAGCCTAACTTCGGTCATGGGTAAGATTTTGGAGTCCATTGTGAAGGATGAGATTTCTGAATATTTGGAAGTGCATGGTAAAATAGGGAAAAGTCAGCATGGCTTCATCAAAGGAAGATCATGCTTGACAAATCTGTTAGAGTTCTTTGAGGAAGTAATGAGCAGGTTAGACCAAGGAGAGCCAATGGATGTTATCAATCTGGACTTCAAGAAGGCCTTTGACAAGGTGCCACACAGGAGGCTGCTGAGTAAGATAAGGGCCCACGGTGTTGGTGGCAAGGTGCTAACATGGATGGAAGATTGGCTGTATGGCAGAAAGCAGACAGTGGGGATAAAGGGGTCTTTCTCAGGATGGCAGCCGGTGACAAGTGGTGTTCTGCAAGGGTCAGTGCTGGGACCACAACTTTTCACTTTACATATTAATGATCTAGATGAAAGAACTGAGGCAATTTTGGCTAAGTTTGCAGACGATACAAAGATAGGTGGAGGGACAGGTAGTATTGAGGAGGTAGGGAGGCTGCAGAAGGATTTGGACAGGGTAGGAGAGTGGGCAAAGAAGTGGCAGATGGAGTACAACGTGGGAAAGTGTGAGGTCATGAACTTTGGTAAGAAGAATAGAGATATGGGCTATTTTCTAAAATTCAGAAGTCTGAAGTGCAAAGAAACTTGGGAGTTCTAGTCCAGGATTCTCTCAAGGTAAACTTGCAAGGTGAGTCAGTGGTTAGGAAGGCAAATGCAATGTTGTAATTTATTTTGAGAGGACTTGAATACAAAAGCAGAGATGTACTACTGAGGCTCTTGTCATGCCACATTTGGAGTATTGTGCACAGTTCTGAGCCCCATATCTCAGGAAAGATATACTGGCCCTGGAGCAGGGTCAGAGGAGGTTCACGAGAATGGTCCCAGGAATGAAAGCTTAACGTATGAGGAACATCTGAGGACTCTGGATCTATACTCGATGGAGTTTAGAAGGATGAGGAGGGTCTAATTGAAGCTTACAGAATACTGAATAGCCTGGACAAAGTGGATGTTGGGAAGATGTTTCCATTGGCAGGAGAGACTAGGACCCCAGGGCACAGCCTTAGAGTAAAGGGAAGACCTTTTAGAATGGGATAAGGAGAAACTTCTTTAGCCAGAGAGTGGTGAATCTATGGAATTCACTGCCACAGAAGGCTGTGGAGGCCAGGTTATTGAGTATATTTAAGACGGAGATAGATAGGTTTTTAATTGTCAAGGGAATCAAGGGTTACAAGGAGAAAGAGGGAGAATGGAGTTGAGAAGCTTATCAGCCATGACTGAATGGCGGAGAAGACTCGATGGGCTGAATGGCCTAATTTCTGCTCTTTTGTCTTATGGTCTCATAGAATTGATTAAGCAAATTGAAGAGAATAAAGTGTGGATGGACAAACCTCCAAAAGCAGCAAAAATCAGCAGATTTCATTTCACCTCTGCCAATGCCACGTGTAATATCATGAGCACCCCCTCAGTCAATAGTGGCTGACTAACAGCAGACTGACAATGGATTGCAGTATTTCTTGTCAGAAAAGCTCAAGACTGCTTCAATTAGTTTAATTACTGAGAGAGACTTGGGAAGGTCTTTCCGATGCGGTTTTAAACTAAAAATATTATTGTTTCTGTGACAGAGTTTCTATACTAAAAGAGGTTCTAATTCTCCATGAAGTATTAGTGTAATTTTGGTTTTAGGACAGTGAATATCCTCTTCAGCCCTCTTAAAAAGAAGTCAACTAACAGATTATTTATTTTACCTTGGCTCTCATGGTCTGTTCGGCGTCCAGTTCCTCTTCTAGCTCTTCCACACGAGTCTGCAAGAAAAAAAAGGGCAGTATAAAAGTAATGGGTGCCAAAAATTTGGAAGTGGGAAATGAGAAGGAAGGGAAAGAGGAAGAGAGTTTTTTTCCAGTATTTTGGCCCATGTTTTGCCTCTGACTTCAAAGACTAGAGATATTAACAATATTTAATCTTCATGCACTTCAGCCATGTCTGTACTGCCTTGGGGTCAGTTAGCTCAGTTGGCTAGATGGTAAGTTTGCAATGCACCGCGATGCCAACATTACAGGCTCAATTCCTGTACCAGCTGAGGTCCCGCCTTCTCAACCTCATCCCTCATCCAAGGCATGGTGACTCTCATGTTCAACTCCCCATCAGTCGTCTCTCTCTCTAATGAGACAGCAGCCCTATGGTCCTCTTGGACTAGGACAGTTTCACTTTACTGCCTGAAATGATAAACCGTTTAAAATTTTCTACAGCCATACAGCATAGAAACAGACCCTTCGGTCCAACCAATCCATGCTGACCATGATCCCAAACTAAACTAGTCACACGCATTCAAACTAACACCCACTTATTTTGAAATCAGAGCAGAGGACATTGCATTCAAAGCATATACTCAATAGTGAGACTTGCACACTAAGGTTATGATGTGTTGAAACTATAGACAACACTCTGAAGAAGAAGGGCTCTCCTCAATGAGATAAACCCCAAATGGAAGATAACAACAGTGGGCAATTTTTGACTGAGTTGTTAAGCAATACACACCAAATGCTTGTGGCTAATAATGAGTCCCTGCTAATACAATGATTGGGATATTGCAATTAGTTCTTCAACTAAGCCCAGTGATATCGAGTTATGGAGCTGAAGATCATGCAACATTTCTGCTTCTGATTACGATATCTGAAATCCAAGTGTAAATCTGGATGTGAGCAACATCAGCTTTAGCAATGGCTTCCCCTGTTTGAAACACAATCTGTGCCCACTTGCTGATGAGGCCCATGTATGAACAGTAGCTACTCAGAGGAGTTACCAAAGGACAAATTATGTTCATGGTTAAATAAGGTGCCAATGCTAAATTAGGAAGGGAAAAGAACTGGAGAGAGTGAAGACATGCAGGGTTGCAGGTCAGAGGCTAAAATTCTGCAGTAACTCACCTCCTGACTGTGCAAAGCCTGTCCATCATCAACAAGGCATTAGTCAGAAGTCTGATGGAATGCTGTATGCTTGTCTGGATGAGTGCAGCTCCAACAACACTCAAGAAGCTTGACACTACCCAAGACAAAGCAGCCCGCTTGACTGGCATCACATCCATCAGCATCCACTCCTTCCACCACTGACACTCTGTAGCAAACAGCAGTAGGTAACAGCTAAAAGATGTACTGCAGAAGTTCACTAAGGTTCCTTAGATAGCACCTTCAAAACTCTCAAACTTACTATTTCGAAGCTCAAGGGAAGCAAATGCTTGGGAACACCAACACCTGCAAAGTCCTTGCTAAGGCACTCACCTTCCTAACTTGGAAATGCCTATTCATTCCTTCAGTGTCACTAGGTCAAAATCCTGAAACACCCTCCCTCTCTCCCTAACAGTACTGTGGGTGCATTTACACTAAATGAACTGCACAGGTTCAAGAAGGCAGCTCGCTTGACATCTTCAAGGGCAATTAGGGATAGGTAGTAAGTGCTGACCTTGCCAATGAAACCCACATCTCATGAATGAAAAAAATAACATGTTCTGATCAGATTTCATTGTGGTAATATTTACAAGATAGAATTAGGAAGCCATTAACAATTAAGCACAAAACTAATTGGTTAACTGTCCTTAAGTAACGGATACATCTAAAACAAATCTTTCATGGGGAAAGGAAAATATCCATTCTAAGATCATTAACTGGTGTATCTTTTAACAGCAAAGAAAACTAACAGGAATGTCAGTTCTCCAAAAGGGATTAGTCTGTCAGGATTACAAATAGGGTGAAATAAAACATAATCCATCTTGCAGTACACTACTGGGATAAAAAAAACTCATTAAAATACAGCTTATATTTAGTGATAAACTCAATTAACTTGTGGTTTTAAAATTAGCTCATGTCCATAAACTCTAAATCAGTTTTTAAGAGGAATCAAAATAGCTCTGAGGAAGGGTCACTTGACCCGAAACGTTAACTCTGATTTCTCTCCACAGATGCTGCCAGACCGGCTGAGCTTTTCCAGCAATTTCTGTTTATGTTTCTGATTTACAGCACTCACAGCTCTTTCGGTTTTTAAGAAGCTTTAAGATTTGTGTTTCTTTCCATTTTCATGACCAGCTCTTCCACATTATTATTATTCTCAAACCAGTGGCCTGGTATGGGTATGCTCTTGCGGTGCATTAAATACTTTCGTGAACCATTTTACCACCACAACCCCAGAACCAGGACAAGTTCATGGGACCCTGCTGATCCTCGCATTTATTTCACTGAAGCTGGCATTCTTAATTCCACGGCAGAATCGTAATGTACAATTTACATGAACAGGTCATTGTACCTAGATGGCTGGCATTTGTACAAACTTCCTCCATCCTTATTTCGTTACATCCCATCAACATATATTTCTATTCCTTGTTCCTCACAGCTTCCTCATAATTGCACCACTCCCCTCAATTAACCAGGGAGCCCCATCTTCTGCCAAGCTGAATAAGGGACACTAGTTTGTTACCACCAAGAGGCATAGTTTACCTGGGTCCTTTCTTTATCAGTTAAACTCAAGTATTGCAAAATCAGCTTTTAAAAGAATCTCCGGTTTCACCTGAAACACCTCCATTCACCAAAAATCCTCAGCAGTCAATTTCCGACTATCCAGAAATAACAATTTTATCCTTTAGCAAATTCTCGAGAGGCGTCTATTAAAGTGGTCCATTTAGTCTCATGAAACATGGAATCTGAAGGGGTAATTCACATCCCATTTCAGTGCCTCCTCAGTCAGCTCCAAAGTCAGGATCACAGCCTTCAGACAGTGCATACATATACAACCAGCAGACTAAACAAAAGCTGGCCAGACAGTATGTTGATGTATTAACCCTTTCAGGAATTACATAGCTGGCCTTTATATGCTGAAGCCATTTATCACATACATTTCTTCAATAAAAATACTCGCCTCTTTAAAAACAGAGAGTTTCTCAAGCTGTGCAAACTGGATTAACCCATACTGTGTGCTCAGCGCATCAATAGGGAACTTCTTCTAGACTGCAGGAATGTAGCCGTGTCACTGTGAATCATTCAAAAATCTTTATCGTCTTTTATCCCTGCTCCCTTGAAGATGCTGCTCAAGCTAAGGTTCCGTGTGCTGACCCTGACAAAGATATCTTCTCTGCACTCCAACAGCCACTCTTCAAGGATGATTCCCCTGACAAGCAAATGTTGGAAGACTGGGAGGACCTCACAGCCACGTATGTCCTGATCTGAGGGACAGCCTTTGGAATTTTCCAACAAACGTTCTCAGCAAGAGAGAAGAAATTACCAAAATTCTTTTTTTGATTCATTCACGGGACATGGGCATCATTGGCTGAGCCAGCATTCTTTGTCCATCCCTAATTGCCCTTGTGAAAGTGGTAGCCAACTGACTTCTTGAATTGCTGCTCGGAAAGGATTTCCAGGATTTTGACCCAGTGAAGAAACGGAGATATACCGCCAAGACAGGATGGCTTGGAGGGAAACTTGGTGGAATCCCCATGTGTCTGCCTCTTCATCCTTCGAGGTGGTAAGAGGTTGAGGATTTGGCATGTGCTGTCAAAGGAGCCTGCGTGAGTTACCTCATCCAGTGAGAATGAACTAGGGGTTAATTAAGGTCACCCCTCCAAGTTCCTAGCTGAACCACAGAGCGGCGTGTCCAATCACAAGACCATTGGAAGTTGTGATTTAGAATCCTATTTTTCACGTCACCGAAGAGACAATAAATGCGGGGATCCTGAATGGGAGAATTGTACACTTGACCCACTCGCACTGAGTTCAAGATATGAGCTGATGCAACCAGGTTGTAAACTACACAGAAAAGAAACACATGTGGAAAATTAACTACTAGTGAGGTGGTTCCTCCCTTACACTACTAAATGGGTTGGAAAGGTAGTGGAGGGCCCATGTTGGCTCCAAGGCGAGGTTTCAGTCCAACGTACAAGTGCACTCAAGCACTTCACTAGCCAGTTTTGGGCCTTCCAAATGAACACGAACCATGGACGGGCAGAAAGTCCACTGAGACACTGGCCAGCTGCTCTTCATGCCTGAAGGTGGTGACACAGCGGCAATGCCAGTGGTCTAATAATCCAGGACTTCAAGCTGATGTTCTGGTGTCAGGGGTTTGAATCCACAACAGCAAATGGTGATGTCTGAACTCAGTAAAAACCTGGAATAAAATAACTTAGTTTAATGGTGTCCATGTAACCATTGTTGATTGTTGTAAAAACTCATCTTGTTCACAAACACCCTTTAGGGAGGTAAATCTTCCAACCTTACCTAGTCTGGCTTCCATGCAACTCCAGACCCACAGTGATGTGTCTGACTCTTAACTATCCTCTAGGCAATTAAGGATGTGCTTTAAAAGCCAATTCAGCAACACTCATGTCCTGTGAGCCATTTAAACAAAAACATGACTACAAGAGGTAATGGCCCAACGCCTAGCCAGCTGATCAACATGGTATCCCTACAGTCAGTTCACAGGTATGCAATAGCAGTCACAGGAAGGGGCCTGGAGGGTTGGAGCTGAGGGTGTGGGTTTTACCAGCCCTCCCCTTCCCAATACTGGGTCTCAATCAGTCACTAAGTGCCCATCAAAGAGAAACCCCTCAGTCAGCTGTGGGCAAACCTGATCGGGTTTATTGGGAAGCACAGGAGACCCACGTAAGCCCTGTCAAACTTCTCAGCCGATACTAAATTCAGGGCTAATTAGCTTTAAGTGGTTCATTTCTTAGCCTAATTGGTATTCCATCACCAGTGGACAGGAATCTTGCATCAGGCCCCTCTTCCCCCAATGTAGAACTCCTTCAGCCCCGTTACCTTAATGT